AGTCACAGCGACAGCTATAAGAGTGGCCTTCCGAGCCTTTTTAATACACTCATTGGGTAACTACTGCAAGCACACTTGATTGGGGCCCGCTAGGGCATTAATAATAAACTTTTAGGGTTGTAGGCTGGCATTCGCTATACTGTTTTTTGTCATTCTTCTGAGAACCATGGTATCTGCTAAAGAATTGCGAGAAATTTTGTGCCAATTGTCCATGCAGTGGCGGATGATGATGACAAATTATGGCTGAAGTGGGTAAGCACCGCAGTTAATAGGTGAACAAGAGCAAGCTTTCGTGATTGCTATTTAGGAGCATTGCATAGCCCACTCATTACACTATTTCCATTGTTCGACGACTGCTTGTTTTTTCACTGTTGTAAAACGCTTTATAAATCGTATTACCGCGATTGCTTTCCCCACATCAAGGCTGCCTAAGGCGAGTTTGACAAGTCTCAAGCACGGTGTAGCTCAGTAGTAGAGTGCTGAGCTGGCACCCAGTGGACCTTGGTTCAAGCCCCACTGTGCTTTTGTGCTAAGTCAGGCCTGCCTAAAGCAAGTTTGAGAACAAGTTCCGAGCACTGGCGTAACTCAGTGGTAGAATATTAGGCTGGCACTCAGTGGACGCGGATTCAAGCCCCACTGTGTCATTAATGCATGACTTTTTTTCTGAATTCGCGTGATGTGGTTGCGGAAACCAGCGGCCACGGCGGCGGCGGACAACAGCAACAACTGCGCGTGACCCGAAAATTGATCTCATAACAGCTTTTGCTGTAAAACACAAAAGCCAACATATCCATCAATTATGGATTCAGATGATGTTTGCATTCTTCTAAGATTTTGATACCCCGTCAAGAGGCACTTCGTATACAGAGCGGCAGGCATTTCTAACACAATCTCTCCATCGTCACTCACTGGGTCTAATGTTACCTGTGCCTCACCAGTGGGTTTGATTTTTTTCCTCCCCAATAGGACTTTATTTTACTTTATCTATCTTTACCGTTAGGATTTCCAATTCATCTGAGTTATTACTGCTTCTTGCGTCGTCTTGCTGATTGTCTCGCCTGCCATACTGATATATGTATAACTCCTCAGGTACTGTATCTATCCTACCTATGTTTGTTGTGACTTTGCCTTCCTTTCTCTCTTGGTGCATACCGCGGATTTTCCCCTATGCACAGTTTTGCATTGTTGTGTCGTCAGCGTGGTTTCAATTATGAGGTATATTTTTGTGCATTTCTCTCGCAATAGCGGCGAGAGACTATTTTACTTTTTTTTTCTTTAGTTTTTGGCTTATAATGAGTACACGCTCGTTATATCAATATCTCTTTCAGACAGCTGTGTTTATATATTTGTTACCTTACCATTTTCTTTATAACTGTAAGCATTCTGGATGATTATGTACCAGCGTATTTTGTACAACGAATGCTTGTTCGTGTGTCTATGCTTTTGCTGCCAGGGTGGCACGACCTAGTCAGGCGCTTATTTAGCCTTTATTTGTGTCCCCCAAGGCAAAGTGTAACAATTCCGCCTTGAATAAAAAAAGGAAATGAAATGAAAAATAGTGCTTCGCTACGGATTCAAAAGATTGCTAGAATAAATTGGCATCACGTCTCGTGGGTTGCACACAAAATAATTTTGAATAATTTTAAAGATCTGATTCGAACGTACACGTAATAGGAGGCTTTATGCGAAAATATGATTCCAACTTGTCTGGAAACAGCGATACAAATGCTAGATTGAATAGCGCAAGCATTGCTGAAATAGGACATACATTGGCATGACCTATCTTTTTTTACGCTACCTTCATTCAAAGTGTTTTTAACCTTTTCTGACCTGGCGTCCATTAAACAGCACAGAAAGAAATTCTGCCTGCGATAGGACGTAATGAAGTTAGAAATTGAAAAAAAAGTGTCTGAACTATCCTAAGTATATCTACACAAGCATAGGTAGTAATCTTTTTGTTGTTGTCGCCTTTGGAATTCTGCAATGTGGAAAACAAAATGGCGGATTGCGATAACGATGACACTCACCTCAGCCAAATAATAAATGACACCTTACTTGTTAACTAATGCATCAGTATCTATCGTATTTTTGATGTTGTTGCTAAGGTGTTTAAGTTGCTATTTACAAAGTGGGTGTTCCCTAAAACTAAAGTATTGCCCGCAGCAGTGAAAAATCTGCATGTGCTAAATATAGGACACCAGGGCTCAGTGGTTGTCAGACCTCTGGATGCGTGCAGGCTAATTTAGATGTGCAGCTCTTGCAAATGCTCCCGATTTCTTGTTATTCTAGTCGAGAATTCTGCCCACATCACTTACATAATATGTAAGGGATGTCTCATGGCGAAATATCATGCATTGAATTTAAATTTCTCTTATGAATTATAGTATAGGTGCGTGATTGAGCTAGAAGAAGACGACAGTGATGTGTTGTTCAATCAGACTGCTGTTGCAAACATTGGCGGAAATAATTCTGACGCTGCAAAACAGGGTTCGGATATTTTTTGTCATATTAGACCTTTCAAAGTGTTCAATAGATTGACGGTGGCCATTGAATTGCAAAGGGGAGTTGTTTATCACGAGTGCAACGACTTGATATTGTACAGTTTGTAGGCGCTCTAACTGTAATACGTAGTTGGTGGATGTTAGTTTCACAACAATAAGTTGCACTGACTGGGTTAAATAAAGAGATGCATTTAAATTCACCATACTTCTATTTACAAATACTTAGTCCTGGTGACCTACATTTAGAACACGTAGTCATTTTCCTTGTATACTGATGGGATGCTCAGAAAAAATTATTTTCGTGTTCTGGAGGTTGTAGTAACTCCAAATTAACGAGAAACAAAAATACCTGCCCGTTGAGAAACTATGGACTGAGAGGAATAAAATCTTTATAATGTTAGCGCGAATCTGCTCCTTGCTATCCCTTTTCCTAATGTCATTCATTACCCTGGTTCCTACACGTTTTTTGCGATCTAGATACTATGATGTGTCTTTTGCAACTTGCTGACTTTATAAAACTTCAGGTTTATTTTATCTCTAAATTTCACTTTGATTCCGAGAATTAGTGTATTAGCGTAGCACTCACTTGTTCCGTTATTTTGTGCTGGATTTGAGAGCATATATACATGAATCTCCGTGTGCACACAGTATGCAGCGACTTAGAATCTGTTTACAACTTTTTGAAACAACAAAAGTAAGAGAGATGGAAATGAAGATGAAAGGCAGGAAGATTAACCAAGCTTTGGCTCGGTTGGCTACCGTTTACTTGGGGAAAGGGGGAGTAATAAAAAAGGAAAAAATAGGGAAGAGAGACGAACAGCAAAAAAGAAATAGATAAACACAAAGCTTAAGACTACACAGCATGGTTTCACGATATTCGTTCAGAAGCGCTCCTGAATTCTGGTGGCACAAAACTAAGTTTTCTCTACAAAAAAGAAACTCATTTTGAACCAGCCTAAATATGTTAGCCAAGCAAAAACTGTTATACTATATTAGAAAATAATTCGTTTTTCTCACTAAAGTTTCAACAGGCCATTCTGTGAAATTTATTATTGGCAATTAACTCGGTATTGTACCGTCTACAGAGAAATTGATGATACTTCCTTAGTTGTCAGAGCAACGAGAACTGCCAAGTTTTATTGTCTTTTTATGTGATCTGCCTCCCTTAATGTGTACCTATACCTATAGGGTGTGAATACTTATTACTTAACGCATTGTGTTTTAATATAGATTTTGTTTTTTATATGTATTCTTAAACTAGTTACTGTTCCTTATCAGCGAGTAATCGCACGTACACCTAAAAATAGTGCGAATAGTGGCCGGGCCCTGCTGCGCCTTGTGTACCTATGCAATATGTGTGAGATGTATGTGGGCTGCAGACATGAATCATCGTCAAGTGAGTGAACTTTAGTCCGTTTGTGAATAATTAATGCTTAACTCAAACATAAGCAGAAAATAAAAATAAATTATGTTCGATTTTTCTTAAGTATACCAAAATTGCCTCAACGAGTGTCTCTACCAGCGGTATTGCGACAGTAACCCTGCGACATTTCGGAATTCTGTAAAAAGTGAGAGGTTTACGGTTCAAGTAAAATCCCACACCATCCTTTGAGGAATTATTGGGAAGCATCTTCATACCCCGCCGCGGTGATCTAGTGGCTAAGGTACTTGGCTGCTGACCCGCAGGTCGCGGGTTAGAATCCCGGCTGCGGCAGCTGCATTTCCGGTGGAGGTGGAAATGGTGTAGGCCCGTGTGCTCAGATTTGGGCGCACGTTAAAGAACCCCAGGTGATCGAAATTTCTGAAGCCCTCCACTACGGCGTCTCTCATAATCATATGGTGGTTTTGGGACGTTAAACCCCACATATCAATCAATCAGGGAAGCATCTTCATGAAGTTCTTTTAATCAGATGGCAATCCACTTGCTCGTCGGAAGAAGAGCAGCCAGTTCTACCGGTATTAAAAAAGACAAGAAAAATAACTTGCAATGAGTTATAAAGAAACTCGTCATAATGTGGATACATAGGGACGGAAATAACATGCTTCGGAGCAAAGTTTTTTATCCTTTTAGCAAGAACAACAAACCTATCTAGATCTTTAGAAACTTTATTTATGTAAGAAAAAATGGTCGCAGTTAAAAAGGTTTCAAGCAAACTTATATACCGGAGTATTTTAAGATATATTCAAAGATAGCGTATGAAACAGAAGCACTGATGTAGTATTATGCATGTGTACTTCATTTTAAGCAGCTGTTACCCTATTAATTGTACTGTATCGGTTTGCGATTCCAAACAATATTTTCCCAGCAAGCACTTAGCTATATCTTGTTGATAAAATATTACATTATTCTAACAAGGAACGCATAGGACGCACTCGCAATGCAAAGAAACGCAGGCATAAATAGGTAGATATAATTTTATTTAGAATATCTACTGGAACACGACTTCGCACGCCACTTGGCAGTCCAGGAATTTTCGGAACTATAGATGAAATTGCGGTGAGTGCTTTCCTGATGGCCTCTAGATTGGGAGGAGCCTTTTTTACCTCGAGCGGTTGAACTGTGTATTAGAAGAGAATGTTTAAAAACGTAAAAACATGAGCATATAAAAATTTGTAGAACTCATGTACTGTGGGAATCGGTAATATGCGAAGCACGAATGAGGCAAGTTGAATCGTCACATTAAATTCAGCACAAAATTACGAGACAGACGTAAATTAAGTCGCAAATGACACGCACTTCATGATTATCATGTTTGGATCAGTCATATATCTTCATCATTCATAGGTCGCGTAACAGCGAATTCGGTATATGTGAAGATAGCTAAACGACCGCGAGTGCATAATCAGCGTGGCAGGTATTCGTGTTTTTACATGACACGCATGTCATGACTTCCACGTAAGGGCCCGTCACTTATGTTTGCCATGTAGTCATGTCATACTATACCAGTTTTGCGAAAAGTTATGTGCATGAAACTACCGCAGGAGCAGCAAGACTTTGGCATATAAGTCAGGACATTCATGACATACATATCATCATTTCAATTTTATGACTAGTCATTTATTCTTGTGATACAGTCATGTTATGCCACATGAGTTTTGGTATAGATCCTATTATTCGAACAGCTAGGAGAGCTAAAAGTCGTATGGAGCTATAGATCATCGTGAGGGCCCCTTGGTGATTATCTTAACGCTATTGCTAGCTGATAGTCGCCTTCACTATGAATCGACACTATGAATACTGTACCCACTGCTTATTATTAGGCTCTAGTGACACTCGTTTATAAGCCTTAAAGAACAAGTTGTCAGACGGGTTGCAGGGGGATAGCTCCATGTTTTCAACACCACCTAAACGGGTCGGGCTTATTGTACCTTCCGAAATCCGGTATGCCTGAGCAGAAGCTCAGCCACACCTGTAAAATATGGAATTGTCATTCTAACTCATTATCAATTTCTGCATGTCGTCATATTCAATGAGATGCTGAACACCTGGAATGGCTGGCGTGGCGGGAGGTAGCAGTACTCAGCAGTAGGTCCTTTTTCTGCCTTGAGTGATTTTTCACTTTCATTGGTCAATGGAGAATACCTTAGCAGATGAGAGGTACCTCGATTCTTTGGTGGCAGATAAACTGTGTTTCAACTCGAACTTTTGCAGCCTTGCCACCTTAATTATCTCACTGGAAAATATCTCCGGGCAATGTTTTTCAGTGCTCTAGACAATGTGTTCGGAGTAGCTAACCCGAACTGACGAAGTTGGAGGGTTTCAGACATACTCCCGGCTCTGAGTTATCTGTCTACATCTATTGCTCCTTGTGTTTGTAGTCTGAAGATACTTTGTCATTTGGTAAATTATCGTAACACAACTAACACACCAAATTTTTTTTATTACATTAGTATATTACACGAATCAAATAGAGAATTCCCAAAAAATTTGACTTTTGACACAAATTGTCAATTGTATTGAGTAATTTTTTCTTGTACAAGAGCCTGAAAGAACATTGTGTTTAACGGGGCTCTAATCTAAAGATATTTGGTATCTTATAGAAAACATTTGATTAGAAGTGTTCTGTAGCCACCTATGCGTGATTAGCTCTTTTTCGATGCTCTGTTCGCCAAAGTGTGCGTTTTTTATGTTTGTGTAGCACTTTGTTACAGTTTATCGCATAATGCAGTATTTAAAAATGAATAAATAAATAACTCTTTTTATTGTGGTAGCAACTGTAAGGAGATTCCCGGCTGGTTTCTGCTATCGCCATCACCTTCATGTGCTGTATATGTATACGTACTAATATATTTACGAAATTCCGGAGAAGGAGTAATTTTAAAAACGTCCCCAACGTGCGCAAATAAACGAGGCACATCTCGCGCCGCAGCACGCAGAGTTGACGGCTGAGCATAAAAAAAGCTTGTGCTTCAAGGTTTAAACGGCGAGTTATTTATATATACCCCTTACCGCTATCGGTACGCCGATCTCGAGGTGACATCGTGGTGTCGAGCATCATTATCAGCGGCAGGGCGAGATGACGCAAAAGGCGCCCTCGACGGCCCGCTCGCCCTTCTGCGGTAGTGTAGTGGCTAAGGTACTCGACTGCTGACCCGTAGGTCGCAGATTCGAATCCCGGCGGCGGCTGCTGCATTTACGATGGAGGCGAAAATGTTCTAGGCCCATGTGCTCAAATTTGAGGTGCACGTTAAAGAACCCCAGGTGGTCGAAATTTCCGGAGGCCTCCACTACGGTGTCCCTCATAATCATATGGTTGTTTGGGACGTTAAACCTGACATATCCATCAATCAATCGACGCCCCACTCATTGCGACGCGCGATACCACTTGCACACTGCACCGAGGGGCTTATCTCGGGGCGGAGCAGAATCCTACAACCTAGGTTTTCATGGGAGCGACTGCGTTGTAAATACTGAGCGCATAAAAGTCATTACACTTGTACAGTCTCTGTTTGCGAAAAGAGCGTCCTCTTCAAACTTAGCGAGTGCTGTGACACTCGTTAGCTCACGTTCGTCCTGTCTGTACCTGTCAGTACATTTCGTGCGTCGTTTTCATTTGGGCAGTGTGCCAAGTGTTAGTTCACTGCCGACCTGTGTGTGTTGTTTTCGTGCTTCATATACGTGCTAGCCGCGCGTGGCCCGATTCCGAAAATCTGTTTGCCATTCTTAGTGTGATATTCGAATATGTTGAAGTCACATTCACTGCTTCGCCTTTGCGGCAAAACTGTGGCTTTTTCATTTTCGCTAATGGTCTCTCCTCAAAGTGTGCAAGAGCCATTCAGAATTTTTAGAATCTGTATCATCAGGCTAAACGTTCATCGTAGACACAGATGAAGGTTACCTTGTAGCTTGCGTCTATGTGGCACTGCCAATACAAACATATGTCGCCTTCCGCAGGTAGTGTAGCTCGCACTTTTTCGACAATACTCAACGTGATGATTGTGCAGAGCAGCGAAAGCATCACAAGTCAGCTGTTAAATTGAAGTGAACTATCCTCTCCTCGCCCCGCCGCAGTGATCTAGTGGCTAAGGCACTCGGCTTCGGGCCCGCAAGTCGCGGGATTATATCCCGGCTCCAGCAGCTGCATTTTCAATAAAAGCGAAAATGGTGTAGGCCCATGCACTCAAATTTCGGTACACCTTAATAAACCACAGGTCGTCAGAATTTCCAGAGCCCACCACTATGGCGTCTCTGATAATCATATGGTGCTTTTGAGACGTTAAACTTCACATGTCAATCAAATCTATTCTTTCCTTCTACAATAGTCTTCTACTTCGTCTACGGCACTACATTACAAGTTTAGAAAATAGGATATTTAACGAAATAGCCTTTCTGCGTAAAAACACATCTACCGATGCCACCTGTCACAGTGAAATACGGTCAATACCCCAATCTCGAACAAATGAGTCATGAAAGTGTTAAATACAATTTAACCACATTGATCATTTCAATTGAAAATGCCTGTTTTATTATATCAAACAGTACGCGATCTCAACTAGCTTCACTTATTCAGTCGCTATCTTAGTTTTTGCAATGCTTTTTTTTCTTTTTGAAGTTGCCCCCGCCTCTGCGACGAGCGGGCTTTAGCATGTAGTCAATTCGCTTTGTCCGAAAGAGATGAAAACTCACATGCACCTATACACACTGTGATGTATGTTTTTCTAGTTTTTTTTGTTTTTTGTATTGTATCATTGTTACTTATTGTTGATGGAATCTTGCATGTTAACCCAAGCACATTAGTTTTGCCCCCTCTGCCACCTGCTTCCATCATAAAGAACGGTGGTCAAGAGATTCTCATTCTGCCTAGAGCAGTTTTTTCTTGCTTCCTATCATTGTAGAACAAGTTTTGCAATGAAAATAAAAAGATCTAAATAAATAGAAATGAAATAAAAAAGAAAAGAACGTTCTATGCGGAGTCCAGCAGCAGCAGGTACACTCTAAGAACTAAGGGAGTACTGGGCACTCACTTACGGACAGTAGTTTCATGTCCAATATTTCACTCTCTTTGCAGGAGCAAAATACTTACTTTTGAGCCAGAGTATACTGATTCCCCAAGAACGGGCCAAATACTCCCCCTCAAAATAGTAACATGGCGCTGCCCGACGCAGATTGCACGACCCCTAACAGGAGTTCTATTACACATAAAAAATAGCAGTTCTTGGGCCCAATTTGAGCTTTATAATTGGTTTTACTCACGCGAACATCCTAATCATGTCTAAATACAAACGTTGTGACAAAAAACAGAATGTCGAAAAATATTTGTGAGTGAAACTCACATCTACGATCTATATATAGATAAATATTACAATACGAGCAGAACATGCTGACGCTACACTTTGCTGGAAGATCCAACTTCCGAGTTTTTTTTTTCGTGTCAAGTGTATAATACTGTTGACATGTCTGCATTTTCTTGTTGAAAAGCTCAGATTTCAGTAAATCCGCGCACGTGACAACTAAACAGCTGTACTTCACTTGTTTCATGTGTTTGTTTTAGGCTTTGCAACATCAAAACTTCTATCACACACTTTTGGCGATAAAAAACGCACAGCGTGACCAGTGATACACGAATGGCACTCGCACTGACTCGCTAAGTCGTTCGTCATTTCTTTGTAGGAAACATCGCACTTCAGAACTGCTCAGAGAACAATTCGGTTTTCGTCACCTGCTTATCTATATATATTGTCACAGGTAATGGGTATGAGCCATCAACTGTAAGTGGAATCCCTTGGAAGTGAAGAAAGAAGAGGGTGTTTGCGTCCTGGTCTGAGGGCGAGCAAGACGTCGTTTTGTGGCTTTCTGTTATTACGTTCGCGGCACTGGTGGAGGTGCTGGGTAAATGCGCCTCGGCTGCAGAATTTCAGCCGACACACCGAGCTACTTGGAGACAGCTACAGCTCCCACGGCCAGAAGCAGTCGCCGCCTGCGAGGACTATCTCCCGAGTACGGCCCCCTCTCTCAAGACGAGATGGCAACTTTAACTAACAGCCAGGCGAGTCAAACCAACGACGCCTATTCTTTTCTCCCACATGTTTTTCATGCGCCGCAAACACCACGCTCATT